AATCCATATTGCACAACAACAACTTAATTCAGATCTCCAAAGAATTGACAGATTTGCAAAGCATCACAATCTTAAACTAAACCCCTCAAAATCGCAAGTAATGGTTGTGAATAAAAACAGTACTGAAAGAGAACATTTTGAACAAAATTTAGTAATTTATATTAACAATGACAGAATCCCCATAGTTCAGGAGACAAAAAATCTAGGCATTATATATGATAGTTCGCTTGGCTTCGGCAGTCATATAAAAAACAGAACAAATTTAGCTTACATGCAACTAAAAAATATAAACAAATTAAAAAAACATTTATCAGCCAAACAAAAATGTTATTTGTGTAATACCTTAATTTTATCACTTTTTGACTATGGAGATGTCGTCTATGGTGATTCGTTATCGTCGCGAACCAAAAAATGCATACAAAAAGTTCAAAATAGTTGCATGAGATTTGCATTTGGAATTCCATATCGAAACCATATCACTCCTTATCTGAATAACTACAACATATTAAACATGACGAATCGCAGAAAATATCACATGTATTCTTTTATCTATAGGGTTATAAAAACAGGTCAACCGCCCTATTTAAGAGAAAGATTTGTGCCTTTGCCTAGTCCCCAGAGAGGTAGAAATAATCTCAATTTTATCGTACCTAGGCATAGAACCCGTTCCTTCCGACGATCGTTTGCCTATGTGGCGGTTCACTTATGGAATAATTTACCAACTTCAGTTAAAAGCTCATCGTCAAAAACATTCTCAAAACTGACAAAAACGTTGTTACAGAATCACCAGCTACTTTAGCAGCGTTTGTGTGAGCAAAAATATCTTTTTTACATTCCTACTCGCTGACAGGTTGTATAGATTTGTTTTTCGCGTCCGTTGCCAGCTCCCGGGGGTTCTTTCTTCGTTTTTGCCTTTTTTGTGTTTCACCGCCTCTTCATTTGCCTCTTTATTATATTTTTTATTTTGTTTAAGGACTTTTAGGGTATTCAGGGCTTTCTCGCATGGACTCTTTGTATTAAAGGGTCCAATGTATCGGTTTTATAATCGAGAGACTGTCCTTTTTCGTCATTACTCTATATGTAGAATTTCTTTTGTTTATGATGTTTATTCATGACGAAATAAATATTTTGAATTTGAATTTGAATTTCGACTGTGTGGTGACACACTATCATCCATCAGTATTTGCTTATGATTCAGTCAGTGTCAGTGGATTTCTGCGTAACCTTATACAAAATTAATAATTACCGATACTCAGGTTATACAATCAATATCACATTCTTTAGTAAATGGTGACAGTAAAGACTTATCTTATCACATTCGCCTAACGGATTATCTCAATCTTCTGTCACATCGACACGACAGGCGGTCAAGCAGTTTGGCATCTTTTTACCGATATGTCTACAGAATTGGATACTCTAAACCAGAGTTCCCCAAACTCTTTTGTGTCGGAGACCCCTTGCCATGTTTTTCCGTGTTGGGTAGACCCCCTACTTACCTGATATTGATTTTCTGTAAATGTCTAACTGTAGTGAAGTTTAGTGTTAAAAATTTAAAGTAAAACACATGTTAATTTATACATTTATTAATTGAATTTAAATTAAAACAACTCAAAATAAAATTTTGTATCTGTTATGTAAAATATACGTAACATTAAATAAACAGGTGTCTGACCACTAAGTGCCCGCATTGGGAATAAGTGCCCGCATTGAAAAAAAAATAAGAGGGATGAAATAAAAAAAAGTGAAAAATAATAAAAAAAAAGTTTTTTACCTAAATTAGTACAATAAGCGAGTTCGTTTATTAATTATAACATAAACGTATGTTCTACAATAATTTCACTGTTAGTTTGATTAAATTCCGCTTCTTATACGTTTAAGTTATCTAAAAATAGGCAAAAAATTAAGGGGGGTTCTTTAAAAATCTCAATGCGGGCACTTATTCCCAATGCGGGCATTTATTGGTCAGACACCAATAAGCATAAAATAAACTATAAATAAAATAACATGAGCAATAAGTCAATATTTTTAGTGAGAAGGATGAACCTGATGGTTTAATAATAAATTATCAACATTTGGCGTCAATTTTGTAAGGGTTAATCTTAAATCTCCTCGGCTAATGATATCCAGTCTGTTTCTTTTTTTCGTTAAGAGATTGGTAACAGCGCTGAACCCCCTTTCCACTAGGTATGACGATGGAAAGGAAATTGAAAATTTCCTCGCTATATTCCATAATACGGGATAAGTAACGGGTATGTTGTTTTGCAGCCAGAATTGCTATCCGTTTTTAAACTGAACCTTAAGTTCTTCGTTTGTACTTAGTTCAGTCAGTTCCTCTTGTATTATGACATTCGTTTCGTCTATGTCACCATATGGATTAATTATCCACGGTGATATTACCATAGTTAAAATATCCTCAAACCTAGATTCAAAATCTGAATAGAGGGCATTTAAATGTCGAGCGTAAGTTGAAACGTCGTCTTCCTGGCAGCTTGTCTGTGACAAATTGGGGAACTGAGAAAATTCGCCCCGTCCAATATTTTGCTTCATTAGTTTAACTCTGGCAAGAAACGCTGATAAGATGGACTTTGTTTTAATCAAATTTAAACTGTCGCCTTGTAATTGCAAATTAACCATATTATATTTTGTAAACAAATCTGTTAAATAGGCGATGTCTGTTTTCCTCTTCATTAAATTTTCTTTTAAAATTTTATCTTTAGTATCCAGAAATTCTAAAATAGTCTCAAAAAGTGCAAAAAATCTTGTCAAACATAAGCCTTTCGACAGCCAGCGTACTTCAGTGTGAAAGAGTAATTGATGAAAGTGTTCGTCATTTTCTTCACACAACTGCGCAAATAACCGCGTATTCAACGCGTTGCTTCGGATTCAGTTTACTGCATCAATGACTAAATGAAGTGATTCATGCAATCTAACACTCAAATTTTTAGCAACTAAATGTTGTCGATGGATGACGCAATGTATTGCTAACACCCCTGACACATTTTGTTTTAAATAACATATAAATCCACGATAACGTCCAACCATGGCAGGTGCTCCATCTGTAGCTACTGATATTATATTTGATAAAGGAATTGCTTTTTCAATGAAGTAATCCTTCAAAACATGAAATATTGATTCACCTTTAGTGTCGGTTATCAAAGTTCTTGCGAAGAGCAGTTCTTCGTAGATTTCTTGATTCATAATAAAACGAACATATGTCAATAATAATGCTGCATTATCAGGTAAAGTTGACTCGTCCAGTTGTATAGAGAAATGGGTCGTTTGCAAATAATTACATAAGAAGCTTTCAATATCAGAACTCATTTCATCAATACGTCTTTCAACAGTATTGTTGCTTAAGGGAATTCTTTTAATGATATCAGATGCAGGTTTGTGTAAAACAGTTTTCAAAACCTCTTCAACGGCTGGCAAAATTAACTTCTCTCCGATAGTATGCGGTTTTCCGGATTTTGCTATATAATAAGAGATATTGTAAGACGCCCGCAAACCATCATCATTTCTTTGTGACGTCGAAGCGAACATTCTGTCCAGTGTAGGTCTCTTCTGAAATTTATCTTTGAATGTTTGAAAGTATTTCAAATCTTTCTCTGTTTTATCAGGGTGGCATCTTCTCAGATGTTCTTGCAGTTTAGATGGTTTCATAGCGTCATTGCCCAAAACTTTGTTGCATAAAAGGCACATAGGCGATTGTTTGTCCGGCAATGATGGAATGAAGCCAAATTTCAGATAATCAACACTGTACTGTCTACATTTCTTTTTAGATTCGGACATGGCATCAGTCATCTTTGGCAAAATTATATTATTTAAATAAGACAGAAAATCCAGCAGCTGTATATTAAAAATATTTTTTGATTTTTCCGAAAACATTCCATAATTCGAACATCTTCTTGCAACAATTAGCTCGAATTACGGAGATTGCACTGTAATTATATTACCGATTGCTAAAACTTTCAAAAAGAAACTATTGAGGAGTACTTGTGTAATTTTGCATGATTGAATATTTAACTACTAATAACTAAAGTCATGATTGGCGTAATTTATCTATCTTTGCTAACTACGAGTACAAAACTAAAATTTAATAAAATATAATGTACTTACTTTTCTCCAGCACTCTCAAACAAAATAACACTGATTCACTATAATTTGTGTGATATACTATCTGTTTATATTTTTTAAAATATTCCCTTAGCACTTTCCTTTTCAAGATTCAGGAAACGAATAAACGTATTTGTCCCACATTCGTATTTATAGAGTGACGAATTGAACAAGTCAGTGCAAGGTAACGAAACTCTGAGACTGCGACTCTCAGGTTTTTACAAGTTCAAAATGTATTGCGACCACAAAGCGAATACCAACATCCTACAACTTACACAATTTTATAAACATATATAATAAATTTTTTACTTCATAGATACTTTTATAAATAATGTATATGTTTTGATATTATAAGATGTAAGTAAATAGGTACTATCAGTGAATGTGTTGAGATCCACTATCGTGGACCCCCATATTCATTTCATGGACCCCCAAATTTTTTTTCGCTGCCGTAGACCCCTTGCAGGTTGTCATAGACCCCTAGGAGTCGATATATCAAATGGATCATGTCAATCCACACTTGCCCTATCGACAGTACCGACCACCAAGAAACTTGGCAACCCAGCACGGCGTTGCATATACGGATACATGTTTGTATCGTCGCTCAGTTATTCGAAGTACGAGCCCCTTCTCACTTCAGTTGGCCCAACTATTGAAATCTTAGTTTTTTTTTATCATTTTTTAGAACGATCAGGTTCCTCTGAAACGTCAAAAAACGAAAAATGAGTGACTTTTATTTTTTACGTTTTTTCGCGCAGTGGCGTAACAAGTAAAATTCGCCAGGCTCTCTGTTCGTTTGCTTGACTGTGTGACTTTTGAAAAATTTGACAGAAGATGTTATTTCCGGTTCTACTGGGCTTTGTTTGAACAAGTTTCTTTTTGTTTCAGGTACAAGGACGATAAGCTGTATCCTTGGGCGCTTCAAGTGTCGCGATTGATCCTGTTCCCCGAAAGTGCCAATCAGACTATCTATACCCAATCTGTGACGCCTGACGATGCAGGAAATTACACCTGCGTGCTTAAAAATGACACCGTCATGCACAGCCATACGATACACCTAAAAGTTTTCGGTAAGTGTTTTCGTTCAAAGTTTTTACACCCTAATGATGAATGCGTTCAGGTAATCCCACTATAATAGTATATAAAAAAGTGATGTTTTGTCGATCTTTTTTTGTGGAATGAAATAATAATATTGATGGAAGTTATGCAGCATGTTCGAGTCCTGTCTCAGTGAAGTCTTTTTTAAGAAATTTTTCATATTAACGGAAACGTATTAAAAACTAAAATGGATTTCTGAAAACATACGATATTTTTATTTAATTTTAGCCTAAAATACTACATTTTATTTAACAAAGAAAAAATATGTGACAAATTCAAAAAAAACTGCGAAAACAAACAGCAGCAAATCACCACTGCGTTGCATCGTATTTTCGACTGATCACATTTTTTATTCAATACAAAATAACAGAATTATTCTAATTTGAATCCGCGTCTTGTTTTTCGTTCAGCAAAAACTTCCATCACAGAATCCAAATCAGTGTATTACCTACTGATCTTTCGATATAGAGGATAGAGAAGTTGTTCAGTGTGTCTTTAGCCAAAGAGGTTCGACGATATTCTTTAACAAGTTTCAAAGAGCGACACGTTCAGCACTAGCTGAACAGATAGGCAAAGTCCAAAACAATCTTAATAAACTGCAGCTCTCTGGAAAACTGTTTATAAAATTGTTTGCAATCATGAACTTAAAATAATCTAGCGGGCTGACATTAGTAAAGTTACGAAAAACACATGCTCGTAAATCTGAATAATTCATATTTTAGATTCACGAAATCCTTCAGCACGTTCTTGCAATTCGTTACTCATTGAATCCAAAACTTCGTAATAATTTATTCGATGTTTTTCGTCTGTTTCCAGTGGCGAGTCAGCAGCTTTTTCGTCGAACATTTTCTGATTTTCCTCTTTCTGACAATGGAAGTAAGTTGTAAGTTTTAAATCCCAGTTTTTGAGCAGCTCTGTGACAAGTTGCTCTTGAAAACTTTTTTGTGATTGCCTAATTTTATAATATTTTCAATTCTTTATAATCAGCAAGCCGATTTCCTAGATAATCCGTTTTGGGGCTCTTCAGTTGGTATTAGAATAACGCGGACGACTTCCAGTTCTGTGTTTCTATGCCACAGATCCCGTTGTTTTTTACAATTTAATAATATTTGATCAATTGTTAACACTATCAGCGAACGATCGCTTTTCTTATTTCGTCAGGTAAACAGCTTTACCACGAGCCATCTTTAATTGTTCACAACGACACCAATAATAATAATAATAATAATAATAATATTTATTTACTCAATGTACAAAGATAACAAACAATATGAGTAAATAAATATAAAATCAAAACAGGCCCAATAGAAGGCATCGCCTGTACATGGACCAATAATTTAAGTTGAAACTGTAGAATGCAAATGACAAAAAATGACAAAAATTAGCTACAGTAGATTATGTATTTAGTTGATGTTCGTATTTATGAGTTTATGAATTTCAGTCCTAGATATAGAATGTAGCCACTTTTTTAAATTTCTTTTGAAACAATTTCCGAAACGTTTTAAGTCTTTAGGTATAATTTCATAAAATTTAGGCGCTAAATAGAGATATGATCGCTGCATTATAGATTTATGCGGTTGAGGAACTACTGTGCCACGAATTTTGTACCTGGTATAATGACTATGTTTAATTTTTTGGTTTGTGTTTACAAATTTATGGTAGTGAGTGATACTGTGTAAGAAATAAAGCTGTCTTATATCATACATTCGAACATTTGCGTATAATTTTTCAGCGGGATAAAGTTTCGGTTTTTTAAATATCATTTTTAGAATACTTTTTTGAAAAACATCTAAATTATAGATATGTGAGGAACATGCAGCTCCTCATGCTAATATACCATATGTGAGATGAGGCTCAATCAGTGCATAGTATAAATTTCGAAGATATTTTTCTGTCAATATATTCCCAAGGTATTTAATTTTGTAGGATACAAATCTAACTTCTTTAAAATATAATTGACATGGATGTCCCATCGTAAGTGAGGATCCAAGACTACTCCAAGGTATTTTATGTTGGCCACTCTATTAATTTGCATTTTTTGATCATTAATGTTGAACGAGATATTTGTGTAATTTGGAAGATGTCTAGCATAAGATCCAAATGGTAAAAAATGTGTTTTAGAGTAGTTAATGCTTAATTTTCTACTGTTAAACCACCGAATAATTTTGATAAAATCATTTTCAATTACATTTTTCAGATCAGACCAGTCAGTGCCTTCATATAATATTGCAGTATCATCTGCAAAACTAGTTATTTTGCCAACACAATTAATTTGGAAAACATCATTTAAATATATATTGAATAACAGTGGACCTAAGACAGTTCCTTGTGGGACACCACACTTAATATACATTTCTTTACTAAATTCTGTTATCAATATTTTGATGTATTTGATTTACAATTTTAGTTATTGCGTCCGATGTAGCCTTCCCTTCTGTAAATCCATATTGATTTTCATTTAAAATTTTGAATTTTGTGAGGTATCGAATCATTCTAGTAGATAAAACTTTTTCAAAAACCTTTGCTACACTGGATATTATTGATATTGGTCTATAGTTGTTAACATCTGTTTTTGTTCCTGATTTATGTATCGGTATTATATTACCTTTTTTTAAAATTGAGGGATATATGCCAGATTCAAAGCATTTGTTGATTAGGTAAGTGAAGGTTGATTTAAACGTCAAAAATCAGCTTCTTAGCAACGTAAAATGTTATCATTTGTTTTACAAAGCCCACCTTTATTTTATCGAAACGAATAAACAGACGATTCAACTTGACATGTATTTTGCTATACAAAAATCATTTTGCAAAGAAGATGATTTCGAAATTAAAACGCTTTAAAAATAGCCGCTTCGGTTTTGTTACCTTTCCATAAACATTTAAAGAAAGCAGAGATATATATGAAATAAAATTTTAGCCCTAAAATAAATTCACAAATATGATGTTTTGGGGTGTTGGGCCAAATTCACGAGGCAGGGGTCGTAGCTAAAGATTGGCGAGTATTTGACTTGAAGTTCAGTTTTAGATGAATTAAGGTACTCATTTGCTAATAAATAATGATTAAATTAGCTTATCCCAAATCTTCTACGTATTTCTCTTCTGTTATTTTATAGATACTATAAAAAGTATGACAATTGTTTTAGTTATGCTGTGTGCCGTTTTGACAAATTGCGTTTCGAGAAAATGATATGGTGCGGCAATTTTCTGTTTTGTTACTTGAATATGTGCTTAATAACTTCCTCTAGTATGATCATTTAATAACCGTTTCTTCCACCTTAATGAAATTGAAAAAAAACTCTTTTTCTAGGCCATTACAGGGGTGATACTTAACAAACAACCTATCCTGTGCCTTATCTATTGCAATGCACCAAAAAACTGCTGCATCGGTAACTACCTGAATGCACTCATCGCAGATGTATTTAGGGGTTCCAAAGAAGATTGGTCTTAGGAAGTTCGTTTTCAGTTGTTTTCCAAAGCTTGGCTTTAAAATTTCGCTCGAAACAGCCTCGTCAAGCTCTAGCAAATGTGTACGGGATCGTAGTGAATCTGAATGATGCTGTTTAGAATACACCTCTTCAATTTATCGGTTTGTTCAGAATGACATTTGATCAATATTCTTCTTACGAGGGCCATTTTAACACGCTTATATTATTTTGGCCTGTATGTATGTAATGGAATCTTTGAGCATAAACAGGTGTTCTGCAAATCCGAACTTACCTATTTTTTATATGTCAGTTCGATCCTGCGCTCCCTCTTGGCAGCAAATCGGTCGATCACCTTCCCGTTGAAATTTTCCATGGTCGAAATAAATTCCTTTTCAATGGACAGCATCGACAACGCTGTAAGGCAATCCTGGGTCATAGTATTACGAAGAAAAGTCTTGATTCTTTTCAATGTTGAGAAATTTCGCTCAGCCTCTGATGTTGACATAGGAGTTGTAACAATAATTTCTAATAGCTATTTTGTATCAAAAATTTCAAAAGAGACAGAGTTTCATGTAAATCTCGGCAATCATTCCGTGCATAAATCACAGACTACTCTGTATTTAAACGACTTTTTTCTAATTCGGGATAAGCCAAGCAGGTAGTTTCCAACTTGTCATCAGGAAGCTTACCACAGTATTCTCCAAAGTGTTCGGGGAAAAAAAGGGATGCGGCTACCAAATGATCTTTGAATTGAAATCTGTCATTTGCAGAATTCCCTATATTGTCGCATACTTCTAATGCGGCAACTCGGTGATCGTGACTGCTATTATTACGTCGTATCCTTTTGTTGCCTTGGGGTTCAGTGCAAATACTTTTGGCTTCATTTATTATCTCATCAATTTTATTTCTCACATCGGCAATACATTTTTCAAAATTATCGATAGCCGTTTTATCTTGCGCTGGCTCGGTTTTTCTCTTCCGCAACTGGTTGAACAAGATGTCGACGTGAGGCATGACATGATGAAAAAATGTCAACCAAAACACGAAAACAGAATCGTTTAACACACGGCGAATACCGCAAGCTGCCTTGCAAACGGTTTCATTAGTGAAATTTTCTTCTATTTCTTCCACGTATTCAATGACTGATTCTCTGTTCTCAAACACTACATTTATTGTGAGAATATTAAAATTCTAACGAGTTGTTGCTCCTTGGGGAATTTTTTTCCCCACAATTCTGTTCAGTACCTTTACGCGTTGAGGAGAATTATTAAAAAATCCCGAAATATCTTTCAAATCCCCAAAGAACACCCGAACTTGAGCATTTGTGGAAGCAGCTTAGGCCATAATCAGGTTTAACTGATGCGCATAGCAATGCACATAGTGAGCAAATGGATATCTGTGTCTAATTTTTGCCTGTACTCCAGCAATATGTCTGCTCATTACTGCATAGCTTTGTGAAATCAGTTTGTTAGGGAAATTTCCTATTAATGGATCTACGACGCTCAAAATATGTTTTGTGATAGTATCAGCGTCACATTTTTTGGGATTCATATAATTCCAAAAACGCTCTACTGGTTCGCCGTTAAATACGTATCTGAAAATTGTTACCAGTTGGGTTTTCCCCGAAATGTCCGTTGTTTCATCTGCTATTATCGCCAAATACGAGGATCTGTTAATCTGTTTTATTATTTCTTCAAGACAAACTTCAAGAATACAATCCAGTAGATCGTTTTGTATTTCTTTCGAAGTTCCTTTAAATATTGAAGCATTTTTTATGTGTTCGCTTAAGGTTGTATCAAGCTCAGCAGAAATATTAATCAGTTCACGAAATATTCCCGGATTTTGGGAGCTCTCCGTTTCGTCGTAACCCCGTAGCCGCCAATTCAAATGCTCCGCAAAATTTTATACCGAGCACCGACCGACCAATCAGATATCGTACTTCGCATTAGATCTGTACGGATCTGTATAATGTGTAGCACATGCTTATGCTTAAATCGCGCATTTGATTTTGTAGAGAGAGGCAACAGCAAGCGCGTGCGGCTTGTGTCGAAGTAGTGCACAGACCCTTTTCAAGTGGCCCATGAATAATGTTAGGCTGCGGTCGCGACGAAAATGACAAGTACACAATTGGTCGATTATACTGCTTTCTCAATACAAAATAGACTCGGCGCTGTGTCTTGCGGGGGCAGCGTTGCCGGTATTGTTTCTATTTGTGTGATAACATGGAAAATAAATAGTGATCAAATTACTACTGCTTATTTCTGTTAAGACAAAAGTTTTGGCAGTTCTGCAGCTCTGCAGAACATCCCTAATGTCAAGATGTACAACCCTAGGTACCGACGGAGCTATTTTGGAGCGTAATGGATATAATTTTAAATTTTCATTGGATTTTGTCAAGTGTTGTTCAACCATTTTGGGAAAAAATCCATTTTAAGCATCTCCGTTCAACCTCAGACACACTTGGCCAGAATGTCACTACGCCTCCTCTACGTTTCAGGTCTCTGTTGGTGTTATTTGCTTTGTCGTCATGTTACTCGGCAAACTCGCTGATAGTGAATTGCATTAATTTGGTTTTTGAACGCAAAAAAGTTCGTCTTGCTGTAAATGCTGAGAGGGTGTGTGAAACATTATTGAAGCTTAATAATAAACACACACAAACGCAGTTTTGTTTGGTATTATTGGATCGTACAGGTCTAACTTCTTCATCAGACGTTCATCTTTTTCCATAACTTAAGGAACTTCTTGGTAGAAAGTGCTTGGAAAATGCTGACACGTTGAAAAAAACAGTTACTGGTTGGCAGAGTTCTTTGTCGACGGGATCCAACAGCTCAAATCGACAAATGTTTAAATGTTTATGGTGCCCAAGTTGGAAAATGAAACAATGTTGTAGTTTGTGATATGATTTACGGGCGTAAATAAAGTCTCTCTGACTCCAATACAAAGGTTCATCCTAAAAAAAATGACGCTCGTGACTAGTTGCGTCACAGTCTCATCCGAAAATGCCAGGTGTGATACAACCATTATGACCTAAACTGTACACGCAGATCATTGCGAAAACGCTGAGGGCTGCACCATTTTTGCGTCCTGTTCGATTGTTCGACCAACACGCTGCCAGAGCACATAAATCTGACCGTTATGAAGTGCCACCAAGCCCAGATTGCGCTGCTATGCAGCTATGCAGCTTTGAAATATGCGAGCCTCGTGCATGGAGGAGGCGATTTTTTCGTATACGCTCCATTAGCGGTATCAGGCTTATATGCAAAAATGAGCGTGATACTGTGCTATTTGTTTCTCGTAGCTTTGGACGTATGTAATTCATTTGTCACGAGTGGCATCTAGCGCAGGTTCCTACGTACAGCGTGTGTATTATACATACAGCGTGTTCGAAAAATAAACGGAAATATCTTAGAGGGTGATTCCTTGTTAAAAATTATGAAAAAAGTTTCTGTAAACATGGGCCCGAAAATGCAGTTTTCCAAATACAGAGTGATGCATTTTTTTATTAATATCTTGCCACTGCCACGCAAAATTAACCGGACAAACAAAATTCTGTTCAAATTAAATTTGAAAGAACTTTCTAAGGGCCGATTTCACCATTTGACAAACCGTTATTCTGCACCAATAGGGTACGAGTACTAAACAGCCCCTCAAATATACCCAATCAGCCTCAAGATCTGTCCGTCAAATTTTTGGTAGCAAATAGCATCAAAGTATTCAAAACAAAACACTGTAAAATATGAAGTGACAGCTTGCCAGTGAAATGTTTTCAGTTTATTAAATATTATGAAATTATATAAAACTGAGCCAAAATTAAAAAAAATGCTTGATAGCTAAGTAACATCCTTTTTTTCAGTTTAGCAGAAGCTTTCTCCATGTTTATTGCAACTTTTGTAATCCATATGTGATTATATTAACTCAACATCACCTACTGGGTGTTCATAGTTTATCCTACCTTTGCAAACTTGCACTTCCAAATTCTTACATGAAAAAGCCTTTCTCCTCAAATTTTTGCTAGGTTTTAACACATTCATACACTTCTTTCCAACTCCTCAACGACATTTTGATACCACTGGTCCGAAACTGTTCAAGATTTTATTCATACATTCAATTGCAGTTGCAGTTTTTTTATTTTAATTTCAGTGTATCAGTCGCACCATCGGTGATGGTACATGGTACACTCAACATAACCACGTATTTCGGGGTTTATGCAGATTTAACTGTACACGACAGTGTAATATGTAATTCTGCACGCGTTACCGACTGACACTGACTATACAACTGAATAAAATAATTGTAAAAACATCGTTCCAAATTCTTTCGCTTTTTTGTTTCCGATGCGATGAACCGATAAGGCGGATTATATCCGTTGTTGCCAAACACGAGCACATAATATTATTATTGAGGCAGGGCGGTACTCAAACTTCCAAAGGGCTATAACTTTGTTACTTTAATTTTACCAGAAAAATGGTAAAGGAAAAAAACATTTCTTGTATGTACATATTTCTCACATACACTGTTAAAATAAATGACTCAACTTCGAAGTCACCCTGTATATTTTTTGTGGTATTGTTGCATAAAGTAGTTTGTTCACGAACCAGTTCCTAGAACTGAATGCAACTTAATGCAAAGAACTAAAAAGCACATCACTATTTCAAGTAATCCAAGGAGGGATAAATTGTCATTTAATCGCACTAGTGATGAGAGAATCGAAAGCCTGAGATTCGCTTTGCATCTGTGACTCGGACATATAGTGTTTTCTTCTGATACAATTAGCTCAGTTTTTGTGTTTAAAATACTCTCTACCTTAGTTAATACCTTTGATCTTGCTCCCAAAACAACTCTCATGTCGTGTCGCGTGCAGTAATCTGTCAATGAAGCATATTTTTCGTTTCTTTGACCTTTTCCGTGTTACTAAGATGAAAAGAATAATAGTAAACCACGAGCAAATAGCACGGCTGCATTCAAAGATGGAAATCGAGGCAGACAGTAGACAACACCAGCCCGAGTTGCTTCAAGTTCTGTATGTTTCTACACTGAGTGAAACACTAGTTCAAAATGCGCAAAAAAAAAACACGAATATAGAATTTGGCTCTGTTATAAGAATTTGGAATATGCACCAGTCCAACACTGGCTTCACTGAAAGAAAACGCGATTGAATAGCTTGGTAATATTTAACAGCTTAGACCATACATAGCTGATTTCAGTAGCTTCTATTTTGGCCACTTTCTCAGTTATAATCTCATCTCACTTCAAGTTGCCTCACATGTCAGAGAATTTCCACTTTCCCCCGCGCCCCTGGAGCCTGTGGTTCTCGATACTTGCTTCCGAAAGATTGAGGCTTGACTGTTGGCTACGTTTGTATATTTTCTGGAGATTTTCAAATCTTTCAAAGATTTTTCAGACCTTAGGATGTTCTAGAAATTCATGTCAATAAAACATTTTCATACAACACTTAAACCTGATTTCGACAGATGTTTCATGCGTGTCAGATGGAATTCTTATTTGACTGTTCCTTAGTTCCTTCTGGTACCTAAGGAAAATCCCTTTCCCCACTTCCAGTGTGCTGAGTCATTCAGTTATTTTCATGCACCGATCAGTATAAATAAAATGTCCCATCACTATCTCGCGACTGAGTCACGTGACATCCGGACAAAACAACACTGTTGCCAGACTTAGCGATTTTCTGCATTTTTGCCTACATTGTTAATTCCATTAAAGTTCGCCTTTTTTACACCGGATCGAACAATCTACCAGAGATGCTTATAATCATAATACCTAGTCAATTTTCATGAAAAATCCGCTGTATGTGGGTATATAAAAGAGCTTTCTTTGCCAAAGATGATCATAATCAGGATAGTAAACTATGACGAAGGTCCACTGTATGTAAAGATTTTCAGATACTTCATTTGCAATTTGACAACAGACCATGATGGTGTTCACGCTTTTCAAATATTCTTCAAGAAGTGTTATCAGTCTAGCTACAACTATCATAAGTACTATGTTTGTGTTCCTAC